AGATGATTTCACACAGATAGGGAAGGTTAAATATTTTAAAAATGCAAACAAAATGAATTTTTAAAAACTTCAAAATAGCTTTGGATTCAGAAAGCCCTTTACAATTCATGGGCAGTTCTCTTTAAGAAAAATGCTTTTAAGTTATGCATACTTCTAATTTGTCTGTTCAGAGATTTCTCTGTCTCTTCCACCACACAGTCTGTATAATTTAAGGTGACTCACAGTACAGGAAAGTTCACCTTCCATTAAAATGTTTTCTTTAGTAAGCACTCTCCTGGAAGTGCTGTAGTGTAAACATGAGTGGCTACGAATATGAACATTTATTAAATAGTGCTGATGAATTTTTCAATACCTAAGGGAGAGCAATTCACAGCTCAATCATTCGGGCCATTTTAAGTGCTGCACAGGACAATTCCACTACATCTTCCATTAATATTTAATAGCCCATTTTATTCTGTTTACCTTTTTGGTTAATATATAATTTAAAGCCCTTCTACTAAAAAGGAGCAGGGAGGGAGGGAAGAGAACAACTGTTAGCCTGCTTTTAACAAATCTCTGGTGAGAACTTTTCCTTCATTTAAAATTCATTGCAAAGAATTTTTATTTAATATCAGTAACACAAACCCCAGGTATTAAAGCAAAACTTGGAAGCAACTGTTGCATAACAGTCCTGACATTGACTTAAATTTGACTGACACAAATTTCTGACTGGCAGCCTTTCACAAAGCACCCTAGAAGACTGGGAGGATGCCACACTCAGCCTGAGCACTAGAAGTAGGTACAGTGGTGTGTGACAGTGTTACCCTGTTAACCAGTGTTAACCCCTGTTGCACAAAGAGTATTCAACAGGAAATAATATTCTTCGTGGTCTTGGTGGAGAGGGAAAAGGGATTAGAAAATGTAACAAAAAGATTTGGCTCACAATTACAAAACCGGGCTTTACAAAGGGATATATTACATTGTGGTGATTAGGAAATAAACTGCCAGATTAATGGGCCTGAAAGTACTTGGGTACTGTGACGTGGATAAAAAAGCAACAATCATGTAAGAGTGTTACACTTGTTCTTCATTGCCAGTCACTGGCAATGCTCATCACAGTCACAAATCTCACAGAAAGTTATTTATTTATTAAAAGCAGTAAAGGGATGAATTTTGAATTTGGCACACAATTAGTAGCAGTGGTACCTAGGCTTTGGTCATTATTTTGAGAATCACAAGAAGACTCAAATGGGCCTAAATACTGTTATAAATGTAGCTGCTTTGAAATTTTCAGAGGCTGTATGTTTGATCTTTCACTTTCTGTAGTCCTTAACACATATAAAACACATTAGGAGTTTATGATCTAGAGTAGTCTATAACTTTTATCACCTCCTGCCTTAAGATAAGGTTGGTGGTTTGTTGAGAAGTTTTTGAAAAATAAGATTTTGAAAATCTATTAATCAAAATTAATATATTCCTTAGCTTTTCTGGCTTGCTCTCTTAATTTTCTTTAACAATCATTCAGAGTATTATGCTACTATACAAAACATAATATCATGCCATGGAAGTAGATCTGGATGTTGTATTAGAAAGTTAGTGCATTTTCTCTGGGTCATGTATGACTTATTTTTCAGAATTATGTACAATATTAAAGACTAGCATATACATAATCACCTGATCTGTGCCCAATCTTCCTAATGAAAGTGAGGAAATATTAACATACTATTCAAAATTAGCATGACTTCAGGAAATACACACACACACACACACACACACACACATATATATATATATATATAATGCAAGGAGAAACAAAAAGCGTGAATAATATTAAACAGCTTATCTACAGTGTTTAAGACATATGCAGCACATGCATAGAATTAGAAAATGGTGAAAATTATCCTGACAGGTACTGAAAAACATCTGAAAGACAAAACAGTCATTGGTCACAGACAGCAAGTCTTCCAGAGTGGAAAATCCTCTTCATCAAACCCGATTTCCTTAAATGACAAGGTACCCCACTCAGCTGCCTGATGTCCAGCCCACAGCTGGATAAACACATCTTGGGATGGGTGAACAGCTGGCTCATGGGTTGGGCACAAAGGGTCACAGTGAATGGGGTGACATCAGACTGGGAATCTGTCACTGGGGGTTCCATAGGGCCCCATCCTCAACTCTCTGCTCTTCAACATCTTCATAAATGACCTGGACACAGGAGTGGAAGGGATACTGAGCAAGATTGCAGGTGATACAAAACTGGGGGGAGATGTTTACTCTCTCGAGGGCAGGGAGGCCCTGCAGAGAGACCTTGATAAATCAGGGGTTTGGGCAATCACCAACCACATGAAGTTCAACAGGGAAGGTGCTGGATTCTGCATCTGGATGTATGGACAGACTGGGAAATGAGACACTGGAAAGCAGTGCCATGGAAAGGAATGTGGGGGCCCTGGCAAGTTGAACACAAGTCAGCAGTGCCCTTGCAGCCAGGAGGGCCAACCCTGTCCTGGGAAGCATCAGGCTCAGCATCACCAGCGGGGCAAGGGAGGGGACTGTCCCTCTCTGTTCTGAGCTGGGGCAGCCTCACCTCCAGTGGTGGGAGAAGTTCTAGGCACCACAATATGAGAAAGACATGAAAATGTTAGAGAGCGTCCAAAGGAGGGCCACAAAAATGGTGAAAGGCCTTGAGAGGAAGATGTTTGAGGAGCAGATGAGGTCACTTGGTCTGCTCAGCCTGGAAGAGACTGAGGACAGACCTCATTGCAGTCTGCAACTTCCTTGTGAGGGGAAGAGTGGCAGGCACTGATCTCTTTGCTGTGGTGACCAGTGACAAGTTGCAGCAGGGGAGGTTCAAGAATGCTCTCAGGCACATGGTTTGACTGTTTGGAATGGTCCTACGCAGTGCCAGGACTTGGACTTGAAGATCTTTGTGGGTCCCTCCCAACAGAGCATATTCTATGATTCTCTGAAAATGTTTATATTTTTCTTACAGTACATATTCATCAACCTTGGGAACAGATTAGACCTATACAGTGGAATTATCTATGACTTTGCTTCTTAGAGTTAAAATGTCAAGATAACAGTCTCTTCACCAATGAACTAGCTGAGAGCAATTAGCATTTATGTCTCCAGTAAGAGTCTGGACAACATGAATATAAAGTCTCCATGTTTAATCACCAGATCACGAACAAGCAGTCAATATGATCATGTCGAAGGTCACTGTGTTGGAGTCCTCAGACTTCATCATTGTCTAAAAAACTAACGCAAGTCTGGCTGAAGTTTAAGGGAAAACCATATCTGTTAAAAGCAAAACAAGACAACAAACCCCACCCATCTCTTTCTCTGGTCTTAACAAACAATATTTTAAATCTTCAGGAGTTCCAAACAGCAAGGTTTCAAGTCAAGGTCAGGAAACAGTAATTTCCTCATTAACAATGCCAGCCACGAGGATGCTTTTCCTCTTCTGCATGATCAGTGTGCTGTGACTTGCTTGCTAAGGGCCTCTTTCCACTGCTATTTCCTACAGCCTCAGGGAAACAGTATGTGGTGCCTACTTCTACGGCTCTTTGGTCTCTTTTGCATTTGTACACAGAGCGCCAGCCACTCATGGCCTCATTTTCCCTGTCAGCTAACCTAAAATGCTAATATTCTTCAACATGAAGGGAATGCATTTTGATATGTAAGCCTATCCTCACTGAATTCATGGAAGTGATACTTAGGCTATATACTTAATTGTTTAAATAAAGTATTTTGTTACTGACTTTGATATAGACTGGAAATATGCAAGAAATTTTGCTCTGTTGAATTGTGGGGTTTATGCCATATACAGTTTCCTGCTCTACACAATAACTAGATCCTATTATTTTATTTACATTTAGCCAGATGGGAAAATGGATTTACCAGTTAAAAACTTCTTGCAGAAATCAGAGTAACCTATATTATTTGAGAAAGGCTAGTAATCTTTATCCAATAGTCAGAGATGGTGTTTGCTTGTTAAAATCCATTTTAATCCCTGAGCTGATGAATTCACAGATGCTTTTCCACCTCAGAAATACAGTCTTTCTTGTTTGGTTTCTGTATGTTTTTCTAAGTTTGTCTGAACAACACACAGACACTAAATGCTATCAGTCTTCCTGCTGTCTGAGGCTGTCTGCACACTGAAGAAAGGAGAAACAAGGGCAAATGAATTATTCTAGTTTGGTGTCCATTCACATTCTATTAAATTATCTAAATTCATAGTCTATTACATTATCAGTCTATTACTATCAAAATTATATTTGTCTATTTTTTCTGTTTTGTTTGTTTGTTTCCTTTATTGCACTGTAAATTGCTACAGAAGCTGTTTCCCATCTAAATTTCACCATCCTTCACACTTCCTTCCTAGACTTCACATGTCACTAGTTAAATATAGCTTGTTCATTGCATCCTCCTATTAAATGCATACAAATTCTACTCTCTTGCTCCTAAAAGCTAATCCCAAATGAGGGATCATTGCTTTTAAAAATACCTTTAAATCAGGTGAAAATAACATTAAATATTTTCAGTGTGCCTGGTTTTTTTCAGTCTCTTGTCATTTGATTAATCAAACCTCATAGTTTTACTCGTAGATGCTCTGAACCAGTGAAATATCTTAGTTTTGGAACTGATAGTATATTTCATTTAGTACTAATTACACAGCAGAAACTCTTAATTATCATCACATGCTTGTAGGTTTTTTTAGATTTTCTCTTTTCCATGGATTAGATGAAAATTTCAAGCACACAAGAAGATAATTTGGATCACTTCTGCCCTGTTGTACTATCTCAGCTACGAGTAAATTGTTAAAATAATCTTTGAAAAATTGCTTCTGTGTGCCCAAGCATAGTACATGGAGACTTGTTTTCTGTTTTCCCCTCCCAAAAGAGTAGTTTGGTTGCATTCCATCCTTCAGAAAATCAACGGACTTTAAGATGTTTAGTTGCCCTTGTTCTATGCTGCCCTGAGATGACAAAAAATGGAGTGAAGATAGACAGAGTTGGGTTTCTCTCAGAAAAGCGGTACTTTTTTATTTCCTTTTTGGGTTATACAGTATACACAAAATGCAGACAACAATGTAAGTTAGAAAGCAATCACACTGCATTCAGGAAAAGTCCTGCCAATGCTCGTAGAAATCATTACGTTGGTCCTACTGCAGTAAAATCTGTTTCCTCTTTGTTAGACCGAGACAGCAATCCTGAGACTGTCAGGCTGGGCATTCAGAGAGTTCTGTCTGCCTAGGCTGCACCTTCTGTTCCATTTCACCCTAAGGGTAAGTAAGACATCATATTCAGTCCACACACATAATAATAACAGTATGATTCAGAATACATTCAAACATTTGAAACAGTTCAGTCACAAATGTCAGCAGAAAGCTGTAGCACACATTTGTGACAACATTGTTTAAATAGAAATGAAAAATGTTACTGACAAATGTCACTAGAAATGGGTTCTGCTCTTCAACTGTTGACTCATCTTACGCAAATACATTACCTACTTGAACCACATATGCCTGTATCTATCCTTCTGCTTTTGTGATAGGATCACACTGGTAGGTTGACTGTAAGCAGCAATTAACAGTGAAGGTTTCAAAGTCCCTTCATACGCACAGAAAGCTCTGCAACAGTCTGCAATAAAGATTTGCATTCTTTGTTCCTATGTATGTGCCAGTGCACATCTCTATAGCAATTCCTACATGTAAGCATCATAGTTTGAACAAGAAATAGCTTTGAAAAGAATTGTGGAAGAGGGTTGATCAAGATCATCTTTCCAGCAGATTTTTTTGGAGAGTTGGCAATGCTTAGGTAAAAAATAATTTCCAAGCCCGACTTAGAGGGAAATAAAGGAGAAAGAGTTAAAGGAAAACTAAAGGGAATTGAGCATATAAAATAAATAAAGCATTTCATTTAGTGAGTTACAGGGAGAAATTAAAAAAAAAAAAGATCAGTTCATTGTGTAAACAAAAATAAAGTGTAGTTTATGCCCTCATTAAAGTTCATGCTTTGCCTGGCGTCATTTGAGGGTGTTTTTTTTATTTAAAGTTGGATTTTTCTATTGTGAAAAGTGTTTTCTCTCAAGGATGATTCTTCTACGGTTTTGAATATTACTGAATAGCTTAGGAAGCTTGCTTTGCCACAGTAAATGTTCAACATTTTTAGGCAAAATGTGAAGGGGATAGGCTTTAGTTTTAAACTATGTTAATCTAAAATACTGGATTGTCCAAACTGATATTCATCAGAACAGTTTCTTCCTGACTGCAGTTACAATTATTATTGAGAGGATGAAAAGATAAATTTATCCTTAGAGATGGACTAATAAGAAGTATAACTATAAAATACAGCTATATCTTCATATGAAGATTGCACACACGTAATTTATCACTTTCTATGCAAATACTACAATGATTCTTTTTTGTTATATGAGTATACATGTAGCCTTTTAAAAATACTAGAACACAAAGTATTTATATACTTTGTTTATATACCACCTAGGAATGTGGTTTAATTTTGTAAGCAAGTTTTTTTATGTATGTGTCCCTCATGCTCTGCTGTGTTTATGACCAGTGAAGAAATACATTATGATGATTTCACATGCATTTCCAAGAAGAAGTGGAAAAGTATTTAAAATTCAGAGATTTTAACTTAATTATTTTTCTCATCTAACTTAGATTTATGCAATTATATTAAGCCATTTATCCAACACAAAAAAATATACAACTGAGCAACAATATTCACTTACAACATTATTTCCAAAAGACAAAAAACCTGTTTCTTTGCATTATCATTATCTCGAAATTATAATTGGAAAGAAAATCTGTCTCTGTACTAACTAATTTTTTGAACTGAATTAGAAATTCCCTGATGGATCTTCTCTCACCAGTTAGGAACAAAGATGTACTTTTGCCGATAATTCCAAAGAGTCTGCATGCCTCAGATGTATGTACTGAGCTGCAAAAAAGCACTGCACAGTGCTTGTGACATTTGACATCAGATTTCCAGTGAAAACACACAAAATTTCTAGAAGTGGGATAAAATACAATTAACAGCATGGGTACTACTCTTCATCTAAGAATAGCTTAAAGCAGTGAAATGCACCACATATGTCTCGTACAAATTAACGGGTGGAGAAAATTGGATACAATTAAAACATGTTTATGATTTCCAACTGAGTTTATAAGAATAAGAAATAACCTTTCTTACTTTTAAAAACACATGTTCTTTCTAATATAAATCTTCATTTTTGGCAATATACATGCTTGCCTACTCTAAGACTCATGTTTCACAGTTTCTCTGTGATAGAGAGAACAGAAGCCAAAGTATATTCTTCTGTACTTAAACAGCATGCACAATAGGCATGTCAGCAAAACTTATAGGACAATGAAACAATGCTTTTTTTGAACCATCTGTCTCTTTACATCACTTTCTTTAATTGTTACAATCTGGTTTCAGTGATTCATAAGAAATAATATTAGGTAACAATAATAACAGCATTTAATTAGAGGGTTTAAGATACACTTTGGAGTTAGACTGCAATTAGTTTAAAGCAATTGAAGGTGTGCCTGTGTCAGAGGAGGTTATTTGTTTCACTTTGCTTGACTGGCCACTAAAGGAGAAGATGATGTTCCTCCCCAGCCCTGTTATTTACAACATTTGCTCTTTCTTCCAACTTCTCCCTTTCCCAACCCCCTCTCCAACTGTTACAGCCAATGGTAATTTAGATAACATCTAAAGCTTTGCCTGACAAGGTAAATTCAAATTATGAAGCAATCCTTCCACAAAGAAAGACCTTGTTAGATTAGTTGTGGATTGGCTCTGTATGACAGCTTGTTTGCAAAAAGGTGAGCTATCTGCATTTCCAATACAGGCAAGCATCATTTAAGGAAAAAAATAGAGACATCATTTCTCTTATTTGTCACAGAGTTCATGTAATATTCCTTCTTAGTTTTCTTCATTGTTTACTTCATAGGAAAATAGTAGCAACTGCGTACCTTCGAATGAGACACCTAATTTTGTTATGGATGAACACAGTGTTGTGACAAAACAGTGGCACAGCTGTCATAACAGCTGTCACACATTAATCATGACAGTGACAAATAGCATAATTACTCTATCTGGAATGTCTAGCATGCAACTCAGTATGCACCACTGCAGCATAAGCATATCAAGCATGGTTTAATTAAAAGACATCAATATAGGTTAGTCAGACATGGTCTTGGAGACACTGATACAAAATGAAAATAAAATTATTTATCAGTACCTTTTTAGGAACACTCAAAGACCAATTACTTAGTCAACAAGGTAATTTGAATTTCTTCTCCTAATCAGTCCCTTTGATGCCAATTCTTCATGCTGAATTGAGTTATTGGCACGCATGGGTTTCTGCCCAAAAACCTCAGCTATGTACCATGTTCAACAGTTATCCATTCTTCCAAGATGGCTTAAATGTTCACATCTGTCCCACATCCTTTGATTGAACAAAATGTAGCAAAATAACAAGCTCCATTGTATGCTGCTGTGTAAAACTTCTTTCCCACAGACTTCGCAACGGAGACAGAGAAGTGAAGCTTGTGTCACAACGTGTGCATCGCGTTCTGCAGCTACACCTGCCAAGGCTGAAGTATTATGTAGCAAGAGCCCATTATAAAGACAGCTACCACTGAAAAACACAAATTCAGCTCAGGCTTAAATTTCAAACAAGCAGGAACATTAAGAGGTAATTTTTAATTTTTTTTTTTTCCTATCAGAACCCTATCTGGTTCAGCATTTCTTTAGTATCACTCTCTCTGTCCATGTATGTATACACATTTGCAGCTGTTTTGTTTAGGCTTTTCTGAAGACAAAACACACACATAAAATGCTTTTGCCAAGGTTCACTTCACGCAGCAAGTTCCTCTGGTAATTACTGACTCATAGTATTCTTACTTTTTGCTCCAGATTTGTTAAGCTCTGCATCTCATTGAATATACTTATTGAATTTCTAGGGGCAGTTCATGAATTGTACTGAAGCTGACTCAATGAAATATTAATGAATCAATTTCCATAGACATGGATTCATTATCTCACTGGATGGCATCAGAAAACACAGTACTGCAGGCAGTATCCTTCCACCTGCCTGCCAGAAGATTTCATTTTATTATTCAATTTTTAAAGCCCACACTCATTCTAGGTAAGTTTACACTGGGAGATTTTCAATCTCTTGCTCTAAGATAAAATTAAGGGGGAAACATTATTTAGATGAACCTCAGTAATCCATCAAATGTGATTTCCTATTAACCAGCAAAGCAAGATTTCCAGTGATTTGCTCTGGATCACAGGAAGCAAAGTTTTTTAAACACAATAAATTCCAAAAAATATTAAAGCTTTATTTTTCCTTTCTCCTGTAAGAAATACAAAGGAAAAAATGGCAAAATATTTTAGTCATTGGTTTCTGTAGAAAATTTACATCAATGAATCCAAGTTTTTATAACTGGATTTAAGACTTCTGTGCTTCTGCAGGGAAGCTATATAGAACTATAGTGTCTGGAAATGCATCTTGAAATTATTGCAGCCATGTAAGTTTTTAAGACACCCCATGGGAAGCCTGCAATGGCTTCCATAATTACTCATCTGTTCATTAATAATCACATAATATCTACCAAAATGAACTGCTTGCACAGTCTTTCACATGCTTCAGGTTTGTAACCAAGATCATTGTACTGACTTCCCCCAGCTTAACCACAGAGGACAGAAATGGCTTATCTCCTTTGGTATCCCCAATTTGGCGGACAAGCACATGAGGTTTTGCAAGGCTTAGAAAGCAAAATCATACTGCCAAGGTACACAGCTTTCTTTAAATCTGTTTTCAGTGGAGTTAAACTTTGAAATTCTATCTGAATTCCCTGCACAACCATGTTTTTTGGGTATTTTTTGTCATAGCCAACTACAAGCTAGGAGATGGAATTCCAAAATCCTTACACATTTGCCTAAGACAGTTAACAAGGAGGTCTTCCTTCTTCCTCTATTTGTGTTCATCAGATACCTAACAGAAGCACTCTTTTTCCCTAACAACAGGAACCAGCAAGCTTTTGGTATGAAAATTAGCAGCTGCCAATTGTATTTGTCTCTTTGACTAAGAGGTTTATTATTTATCTTCCCTGTTGCAGTGCCCATGTGGCAGCAGTGATATTGAGCAGCTGGACAGATTGCACCCTGGAGCCACATCTGTAGCTATATAGATCAACACCATTTTCATTGCCTCGATGCTGGAGAAGTTTATCTTCTGTCATTT